GATTTCCAAAGGCTAAAATTTCAGCTCGCAAAAGGGGCTGTAGCCAGTATTACCCCTGTCGTAGCCAACTTAAGAAGGTGCGTTTGAACGTGGCAGTTGTTTCCCAGGCCTAAGCTGGGAGATAGGAATGTGTGTGGGGAAGAGAGAGTCCCAAATCCAGTACCTGCTCTTTCTTACCCACCACAAATCGCTCCAGTCTGGCAAAAACACGTTCTTCCACTGGTCTTGGGCACTTCGGAAAAGGGATCTCCAAGCAACGGGACAATTTCCAGTCTCCTGAGCTAGGACATCGGACCCTTCGTTGTTCTCCACCTTTTGACCTTAACTCTGGCTCGCAGCCTGGAACCTCAGCACAGAAATCGGCTTCCTCTGAGCCTGGATGCGATGGATTGACTGAAGGACAGGTGGGGCAGCTCTGGGGGAAGGGGAACATCTGCGTCAAACGTACAAATGCCCCTTCTTTTCCTCATCCCCTGGTTAAATCCAGATCTCCGGGGGGCAGGCGGGAAGACTCCAGCTAACAGAAACTCTGAGGGTCTTAAAAAAAAAAAAGAAAAAAAAGAAAAAAACCGAAGTTATCAGACCTTAATGGATATTTTTCAGCACATTCCCACTGCCCCTAACTAGTTTGCACTATTCAAATTTGTCAGCAGTGGGGCTGTGCTGATAGTACTAGAAAAGCTTGTTATAGGCGAAACTCATCTGCTAAGTATCTTTCTTCCTTTTTATTTTATTTTATTTTATTTTATTTGTTTGTTTGTTTGTTTGTTTGGAAGATTGTCACCACAATGGTTGAATAAGGCTAAAAGGAGAGAAAATACCTTTCTGATCTCAGCCTCCAGTTCTGTGAACTGGGCAGAACACTGCTGTCTGCTCAGAAATATATATATATTATATATATATATAATTTTTTTTATAAAGAAAAGCTAATGTTTTAACAAGGTTCAGAAGCTATTGGAAAGATGGAGATGGCAGCTAAAAGTGAAAATGCAGGGAAAAAAAAAAAAAGCCTCCCTTCCTTGCGGTCTCTGCAGCACAGCCGTGGAGGGGAGCACTGAAGCGGTGCCCTTGCTGGTACTGGCCCCGGCCCCAGCCGCCGCCCCAGCAAGTCGCGGGCTGAGCTCTGCCGCCTCCCCTCCGCCCGGTCCTTCCAAAACGTGAATCTTTCAGTTGCGAACGGTTTGACTCTTAATTTTGGCTCCCTGGCCCCCAAAATTGCTCTGGCACAATTGTGTGCTTGCACTTTTTTTTAATTTCTTTTTCTCCCCCCGCCCAAGCCGCGTTGTTCCCCCTCCCCTCCGCCCGCAGAGGTGCCCCCAGCCCGCCCCGGCGCGCAGGCCCTCTGCTCGGTGCAGGAGCCGTCTCGGCGGCGGGGGCCCGGCCTTGCCGCCCCTCCCCTCCGTGCCCGAGGCGTCTCGGGCTGGAAGGCAACAGGCAGCACGGCCGTTTCAGGGCTGCCATCCTCAATTCAGCCCTGCGGTGCCCTGTCTGTGCCTGCGGTGGCTGCCTGCACGTGAAGGCTGTCCCTGCCAGCCGTTGGCACGCAACAGGTCCTTGGGCTTTGGGGACAGACCTTCCTTGGTTTGGGTCAGCAAGGTGATGGACAGAAGTGCTAGGGGTGAAACGGTGGCTGTTAAACGTGCAAATGTGGTCTCTGCCAGCTGCTTGCCCAGCTGCACTTGTCTGGGGTTTGATTTTTGTTTTATTTTTTACTTTTTTTACGCTAAGGTCCCAAATTTGCATTGCCACCTGTTTGGCTGGCATGCTGACCATCGGCACGGCCTTCAGACCAGTCGGTAACCGCAAGGGTCTGGCACCGTGCCCGGACCCGGTGAAATTCTTCCAACGTTTAACCACATTTCACGCCCTGGAATTAGAAACAAGTCAGGAGGAGGAAGAGAGGGGATGGGAAGGCCGGTTAGCACCTATCCCTTGTGTAGCGAGCCGCGGGACAACGCGCGTGGTCTCCCGGCACAAACAAAAAACTTGTTCTGGTCGGTGGTTCGGTGCCCAAATCCCTGGGCACCACCAGGGAACTGGCAGGAGGTCGGTGAGAGGGGCTGAAGGGCGAGCCTGCCGTCAGGAGGCTGAAAGGTGCTGGACGGGGCTCTGCACCGCTCCTGGGAAAGCGTTTGGGAGCCCACGCACGGGAAAGAGGTTGGAAATCAAGGACTGAATTCAAGGAATCGGTTTGGTAGGCAGGATCGCTGTTAGGGAGGGCCGAGCTACGCAGCATCCCCGGTTCCCCCGGCCGCGCCACCGATTTTTGGTGGCGGTGGCAGCGGTTTGAGTACGAAGCCTCTCTGCTCTGCGGGGCTGGAGAGGACGAGTCGGGGAGGAGACGTATAGCACTTAGACATTGCTCTGACATCTTCCAAAGGCGCCCGGTCCCTTTGAAGCGTGCTCCTTGTCTGATCGCCTCAACCTGGCCCAGAGCCAAAGGTCCCTTTGGTGGCTTGAGGGGAGAAGCAGGGGGCAGTGCCCGAAGGTCGACATTAAACATTTGTATCTCTGTGAAAAAGAGGGAGAGCAGGGGGAAGAAAAAATAAAAGCTAAAGATTATCTGTGTTTCAGTTGCACTGGGGTACATTTCTTTACCCGTTTTGATGCTGATGTCTCATTTAGTATGTTGCATGTGTCTTTTTTTGTTTTGATTTGGTTTTTTTATTAAATAAAAGAGAAAAATGTGTATATTTTTGGCAATTTAAGGTAATGTAGCTAAGATATATTTTTTTCACGCTGCTTGACTGTTCTTTATTATAATAAATAATATTAATATTAATATCAAAGACTTTTTTAATACAGCTAGGGTTTCAAAATTGAATTGAGAAGAGGGTCTGTGTGGTTCGCTGGCAGCGTGTGTGCGGCGGTGCGAGCAAGCGATGCTCTCGGGGAGGCAGGACGAGGCCCCGGGAGGGTCCCCAGCCCGGCGCCGTCCCGGCTTCGCGCCTCGGGAGCGAAGGGAGACCGGGGCGAGGGAGGAGCAGGCGGTTGTTGGTCATTAGCGAGAAGGTTGCCCCAGAAGAGGAGCGGTAGCCCGCGCTCAGCGATAGCGATGCCCAAACCCAAGCTCACTGACTTCGTAGGCTTTCCAGCCGGCTCCTCGGTCCTCCCCTCTCCCAAGAGTTTGTTTCTCCGAAGCACCAAAGGGACGGGCTCGTGCTGTTTCTGCTTTGTTCTGGGTTTCCCCCGAACGGCCCTGCATAGCTGGGTGATGAGGTCTCTTCAAAATATGGTTTGGAGACATGTCCTGCTCTTGAGAAAACCAGCTCCCGCTCTCCGGTGCTCAGCCCTTAGATCTGGCTTGGCACTTTCATGGGTCATGCTGCAAAGCTGCGTGCTTTTCTCTCTCGTAGCCCACAGGCTCCGTGCTTCTCCCTTCTCCTTCTGCTTTGAAATCAGAAACTGGTTTTATTGACCTTTTGTTTTTCCCCAGCCACGTGTGCCCCACGTCCCATCGGCGAGGTGGACGCTGCTTGCTTTCTGGGCTCACGGGGCTCCTTTAAAAGGCGCGGGAGACGTTCTCCCCCGGCAGCTGACTCCTGCAGCGCTTTTCCCTCCCTTGTTGACCAGCAGGCAGCATTGCCACGGCGTGGGGGGGAACTGGGGGCCCAGGTTTCTCCAGACAGCCCAAGAGCTGTCAGGAAAGGAGCACAGAGTGAGCCGGCGACACAGGAGCCGATAGTTTTATCTTTAAGAGTGGTTGTGGGCGTTCAGAGGGTCATCCAGAGGAAGCAGAGCCTGGCACGCAAAGGCTGGTGTTGCGGTCGGGTCCCCAACCGCTCTGGGTCGTTACGGGAAGCTTCCAGCTGTTTTTTTGAAGGGAAGAGGAGGTTTGGTGTCTGGTTCTGAGGACTCGGGTGCTCTCTGCAGCAGCTGGCAGCTGCGAAGCCTCTGTGCCTGTTGGTGGTTGGTGCTGGGGGCAGGCTGGGAGCGGGAAGCAGGGGATGCCTGTGGGGCACCAGGGCCCGGGCCCAGTTCTGCTGCCTTTCTTGGAGCCCTGAAATATGAAAAAGCAGCTGAATGTTTCCACAGAGTTCTGTTGGCTTGTTCCTGGCATGGTTCTCCTCTTTCCACTGCTTGGCTCTCGGTAGCGTTTCTGTTCTGTTTTGCATGGATGGGGACTGGAGAGGCAGGAGAGGAAGGTGCTGAGCCACGTTCGGTGCCCGATGAGCAGGTCAGGGCATCTTCTTGGACCAGGATAACGGCAGAAATGCAGCTGTAGCAGGTGCATGAAAGGTGGCTGTCCGAGCAATGCTGCGCAGAGCCCCTCTCTTCCACAAGCCTTAGCTCCTACGTGCTCCGCTCCAGGTCTCTCCCAACTGGTCCCCAGCCTCACCTGGACGTAGCTCTTGGCTGAACAGGGGCTCGCTCAGCCCTGGCACCCGCTGCGCTCTGCAAACCCCTGCTTTTCTCTCCGCTTCCACGCTGGCACGCGTGCTCTCGCCGCGAGCCGGCTGCCCCAGCGGGACGGGGCTGGTTCAGATTCCGGCACCGTCCCCGCAGATTCATGGATGCAGATGGCTGGAGCCCCTTGGCTCTGTACCAAAGACAATATAGACATAGATGAGGTCTTCTCACGTGCTCAGGAGAAGACTCCGGAGGAGACATACCAAGCAGATGGTGTCATACTCTTTGGGGTGAAATGGTCAGGCTAGTTGGCAGGGCGAGAGGTGACCGTGTCTGAAGCGAGCGGGGCTCCAGCCCGCTGCGGTGGCGGAGCGGCTCCCTCGGGAGCTCCCAACAGGCTGCAGTTGTTTGGCATGACCGGCGGGTTGCCTCTTCTTGGCACAGCAGCTTTCCTGCTGCAGAGCAGAGCTGGAGAAAGGGACGTCTGCCTGGGGGCTTCTCTCTTCAGGGCCAGTCCATCCCTCGAACTAAAGTGTCCTGCCTGGCCCCGAGCCCTCGCTGAAGGACGGCGCAGCCACGGCTTGCCTACGCAGCAGCAGCGCCCGTCGCCCCAAAAAGCTTTCAGGTTAAAGGCTGGTTTGTTTGCACAGCCCTCTCGGTGATGAGGGCTTTGCTCTGCTTCGCGGTTGCCCTTACGGCCACCTGCATCATCTGGCGGGTCCCAGCCCGGCTGGGCCGAGCAGGCAGCCCTGCGCCCAGAGGGGGTTTCCAAGGGCTCTCTTCCAGCCCAGCCGGTCCGGCAGAGCTGGCAGCTCAGGCTGCTCCGTTATTTACCCTTGCCCTTGGTATATGCTGTGCTGTGCGGTTTCTTAAGCCCACATAAGTAAAAATAATCAAGTGCCTGTGATCGAAAAAGCCTTGAGGCAGGGAGTTGAATGGGTCCCCGGTGCCTCACCTTTGTGCATTTAGTCTAAGAAATGGCGTTGTCACAAAGGCTGTGGATGTCACCTTTGCAGGAAAGGGTGAAGTAGCAATAATTTTAATAGGAACTTTGCAGCAGCGGGTCTGAAACTGCAATTCGGAGGGGTCCCCTCATCTCCCATTGCCCAGATGGGGAAGCAGAGGCAGAGAGGAGGGATTTGCTCAGCAGCCAGGTCTCCCGCGCTTTGCTCTGCCCAGAAAAGGGGCCCCGGCTCTGCGGGACCCGCCGGCGGGAAGCGTGGGCCCCTGGGCATCCCCTGCGGCTTCAGTCCTGCAGGGAAGCTTCTTGGGAGGATGGGATGCAGAGGCAGCCGTGCAAGTTTGTGCAGCTGCCGGCCCTTCTGGTCTTCAGAGCAGCGGGGAACGGGCACAGCCCGGCGCCGGCTGTGACTCGCCGTGCCTGTCAGGGCAATGGCTGCTGCGTGGGGCCTTTCCTTCGGCTCCGTGGGGTTTGCGTGAGGACCCTCAGCACGGAAAATCCCCTCCCGACCCACCGCTGCCGGACACCAGACCTGGGGCATCGCTGCGGTGGGAGCTGCGGAGGACGGACGGGGGGTAGCTGGGTGGGAGCAGCGGCGCTGCAAGGAAAAGATGTTTGGTTTTTTTGCTGGAGAGATCTTTGGCGAGGTTGTGCCCAGAGGGAGGGTTTGGTTCGGGCTGGCGGAATCCCAGGCCCCCGTTTGTCCCTTCCCTCCCTGGCTTCCAGCTCCCTGCCGCAAACCGGAGATGCGTCTGGCCTGGGGGGGACACACACGCTTGGTGTGGGGTTTTTTTAATTGACACTTCAAAAATTACCAGAATTTGGAGAAATTGGTTTGTGCTACTGATGTTTAAAAAGTAGGAAAATGGAAAAACTCTGTTTAGTTAAAAATTACCGTTTTAACTTTGCAAAGTCAGCAGCATCCTGCCCAGCAGCGCCGATCCGTGCCTGCGCTCCAAATTACGCGTGACATCGCAGCTGAAGGGTAAAGTGCAGAAAACCCCTCCAGGGCCTGGTTTGTATTCTTAATTTAAGCAGCAAATGCAAAGTTTTAGCACCTGCCTGGGCTGCCGGGAGCCTCCGCTGACGGCCAGCCGTGGCTGTAGCCTCTGCGAGACGCTTTAATCGAGTGGTGCTTGCAGACCTAAAAGCCGCAGTGAGCAGGAGGGGCCGTGCTCCAGGCGATGGGGGGCTGACTGAGACGCTGGGCTGCAGCCAGGTCCCTGCGTAGCCCCGGCCTGCGGCGCTCCTGCCCCTCGTAGCCGCTTGGTCCCGCTGCGTGGGAAAGCGGAGGCGATGCGGAGGTCGGTCCCCGTTCAGGGCAGCCCCTGCCCTGTGCACGGCCTGCATCGCAGAGGGATTTGAGCGCGTCCTCAGAGCCAGGAGGGCTCCCCAGGGCTCGAGCGGCCAAAGAGGCCCGTAGAAAAGGGACAAGCATGAAAAGCCAGCGGGGAGAGAAGCGGCGAGTTGCAAATATAAGAACATAAACCTATAAGCAGTTGTTTGTCTGGGTGGTTTGTTTTTTTTTTTTTCCTAAGAAAAGTTTTTTATTTGAAAACTACACGGGCAGATTTGTAGCCGGGGATGTACGTACTGTCTTACCTATTTGTACAGCGGCTGCGTGTCGGCATCTTCCGCGCTCGCTGCGGGAGGCTTGCGGGGAGGACGCTTTCCGTTTTAATTTCTTCCCAAGGACACAAACCAAGCCGGGTGCGAAGGGCAGCGGGATGCCTTGGGCAGAACACTGCTCCTGTTTACCCTTCTGTCTGCAGCGGGGAAGGAAGCCAGCCAGCCTCACCTTCTCTCTGTCGTGCGTAACGCAAATAACGTCTTTGTATACTTCATGTATTTGTATGACTGAGAAATTGCCACGGTCCTTGTTCTTTTTATTAAAATAAGGTTTTCAGAAAAATAAAAAATAGGCTGAAAAGATCGGCTGCCGCGTCTGCTCGTTTTCTCGGGGCGCGCTCCCGGTGCCACGGAGGAACGAGGTTACTCGAGCGCAGCAGCTCCCCAGCGACTTGCAGACCACCGCTAACCCGGAAAGCCCAGCCCGTGGCCCGCAGCGGGGCTGCGGCGCGATGCTAAACAGAATTTACAACCTCCTCGGTTAAAAATGCGCAGCGGTGGAGGTTCGGGTGCCTCCAAGCAATGGTGTGAGCGGAGGTGCTGACCCTGGGGCTCGAGGTCTGGGAGTCGCTGCCCGGAGGGGAGTTTTCTACCCCGGCCCTGGGGCCGGCAGCGCTGGGGACGAGCCCTCGGGCCGGGGGCACTCCAGAAGGGAAAATTAAATGGCCTTGGGTTGCCATTGGGCTTCCCAGCTCCCCAGGGCGAGGCACTGGGTGCCTGGATCGGACCCTCGCTCCCGTCGCGCCGGGACGCTGGGATGGCGGGGGCCGAGCGCGGGCAGCCCCCGGGGGGACCCGCGGTGCCGGGCTAAATCATCTCAGCTGCCAAAAAAGCGGATTTTTCCCAGCAGTGAAATGTTTAAAAAGAGAAACGGGGGGGCGGGGGGAGTCCAAACCTTTGATCCTTAAAAGCTGAGTTTCCAGGGAAGCGGCGGAGCCCGCGTTTGGCGAGCAGAGGGACCCTCCCCCCCCGCCTGCAGCTCCCGGGGGGGGCCCGGGGCGAACCCCCAACCCCCGGGGGGGGGGGGGGGGGGGGGGGGCCCCCAGGGGCCCGGGGGGGGAGCGGGGCGGCGGCTCTCCCCCCGCCAGCATCCGATGCCATCGTTCAGGGCTAGGGGGACCGTGCCTGCTGCGGCGCTGGGTCCCATCCTGGTGCTGGCGGTGCTTTGTGCTGCTAATCACCATCCCTCTTTGCTGGACACTGCCTGGATAACCCCCGTGAAGCTCCCAGGAGCCACGGACCTGGCTTTTCACCATCTCCCTGGGTAGAGCCGTGCTCTGGGAGCCCTTTCGCAGGGACAGCACCAGCCTCAGCACCTTGCAAGCATTTCCCAGGTCAAGCCCCTGGAAAGTCATGACCAGGAGCAGCCAAAATCTGGTGCCAGCCCCCCGAAACCCCTCTCCCCCGGCTCTGCTCCCTCAGGGTCAGCCAGCAGAGGCCCCGGCTGGCCGCGATGAAGTCCCCAGCCATGCTCCTGCCACAGGGGCAGGGGCCGG